CCCTCAAATATATTTCCAGGAATAATATTTTTTTTTTATTGTAAAACTGTGCTTTTCTGCTTAAGAAGATGGGGGTACTTGGCGTGCGATCTGCAGGAATCACGTGTACGAAACATTTATGGTCTAAATGTCCCCGATTTGGTCGGCTGACCATTAGTGGACTATCCTTACAGAGTAACGCACACAGGAAAATGTTTAGATTTACATTGAAATAGCTTGCAAATTTGAAATATTTTAGTCCACTCTTCTTAATAGATACGATAACACAGTGACCCTTCATGTAAATAATAAACACCTAACAAGATAATAGGGTATTATATATGAAATGAAGTTTCAGTGGGTTTGAAAAATTACTTTCGCTCCCCGTGCAACTGAACCAAAATTTATCTCTTTTAAAACTTTTATATATAAAATAAAATTCAACTGATAAACGACTTAATTGTAGGGAAAAAAAATTAAAATGCTCCGTGCGAGGATCGAACAATAAACTTCTCAACTTCTACGTGCACTGGCCTGGTAACGCATACGACTGACCTATCAGCGCTACACTAACACTATCGAATTTTATCGAATTATCGAATGACAAAGAAGCAACGCATTTACACATTGGTATTTTTTTGGATAAAGTTCATTTTTTATAGCCTCTGGGTCTTCTCTCCATTTTTTACAAATGTTTGTTCGTTTCTTTGAATACAAATGCACACAAATGTCTTTTTAAAATCGTGGAGAGAAGACCCAGAGAAAGCAAATTTTTAGAAAAACGTTTAAAAATGTAACATTTTGTACCAAAAAAACTCATCTAACCATGTACCAGGTTGTTTTTAAGGAAATCAAAGCACACTATAGGGAAAATATTTCCTTTCTTATTTCATGGGAACATAATACATTAAAAGAATGTAAAAAAAAAAAAAAATAATAATAATAATAACTAGATGAGATCTCGTTGCGAGCAACGAGTAGGTCTTCCGTCCGATTTTTCGATGAGATGAGATGTGATTTTAATTAAGTTTTCGTTAAAAGATAATGATATAAAAATTTCCCTCCTTAGATTTCATTCTTTTGATTTATATAATATAATCTTGAACATCTTTCGTTCAATATTGCTTTTTTAAAATGTTTCCCCTTTTCGAGATATGAAGCGTAAAGGATTTAACATTCTGACCACCTATGGCCCCTACTTACGCAATAGAGAATCAAAGTTTTACAACATATTGTTGCATATTGAAGAGTTACATATTAGTCTTTTGGCCCCTCTGAGCCTCTATTTTGAAGGGTTAGCCCCTTTTATTTGATATTAAATAAAAAGACTTGTGATTTTAAACATTTTTTACTCAACAACTATTCAGAAGTTTCTTCTCGTTTTCAAGATATGTAGAATAGAAATATTTAGGGGCCAACCCTTCAAGTCCTTAATGGGTCCGTTTTGCAAATATTGAAAGGATATATATTGTTCAGAACATTATTCTGAACATCTTGTGTTCAATATTGCTCATCAAAATATCTCCCCTTTTTGAGGTATAAAGCGTCAAAGATTTAGCATTCTGGCCCCTTTTGGCCCCTTATTACATAATATATGATCTTAATTTTATAATATATAGTGGCAAATCGTTAAGAGGAGCATTTTTGCTTCAGTCATTGATAATAAAATACTGATAGTGAACGAGTTATAGATGAAAAACTTTTGGCCCCTTTGACTCCCTAATTTGAGGGGTCAGCCCCTTTTTCTTGATATCAAATGAAAGGTCTTGTGATTTTGAAGACTTTTTGTTCAATACCTATTCAGAGATTTCTTTTCGTTGTGGAGATCTGCCGAATGGAAATATTTAGGGGCCACCCCTCCAAGTCCTTAATGGGGCCGTTTGACAAAAATTGAAAGGGTGAATATTGTTTAGGACCTTAATCTGAACATCTTTTGTTCAGTATTGCTTATCAAAATATTCCCCCTTTTTGAGACATAAAGCGTCAAAGATCTGGTATTCTGGCCCCTTTTGCCCCTTATTATGCAATATAGGATCAAAATTTTATAACATATATTTCAAAATCGTTAAGATGAACATCTTTGCTTCAGTAATTGATAACAAAATATTGATCGTTCAAGAGTTATACTTGAACGACTTTGGGCCCCTCTGAGCCCCTAATTTGAGGAGTCAGCCCCTTTTTCCTGATATCAAATGAAAGGTCTTGTAATGTTGAAGACTTTTTGTTCAATACCTATTCAGAGATTTCTTTTCGTTGTGGAGATATGCCGAATGGAAATATTTAGGGGCCACTCCTCCAAGTCCTTAATGGGGCCGTTTGACAAAAATTGAAAGGGTGCATATTGTTCAGAACATTATTCTGAACATCTTTTGTTCAGTATTGCTTATCAAAATATTCCCCCTTTTTGAGATATAAAGCGTCAAAGATTTGGTATTCTGGCCCCTTTTGGCCCCTTATTATGCAATATAGGATCAAAATTTTATAACATATATTTCCAAATTGTTAAGATAATCATTTTTGTTTCAGTAACTTATAACAAAATATTAATCGTTTTAGAGTTATACTTGAAAGACTTTGGGCCCCTCTGAGCCCCTAATTTGAAGGGTCAGCCCCTTTTTCTTGATATCAAATGAAAGGTCCTATTTTTTGCATGTCTTTTGTTATACATGTTTTAACAAAATATTTGCATGTAAAAAGATATAAAGGAAAAAGTGACAAATTTTTTGCGAGATGCTTGTGAGCTTATTTTTCGAGCCCAGGCGAGCTTCGACGCCTTTTAAGCTGGAAAAATACAGATGCCAAATGGCACATCTATAATCTTTCCTCTATCTTCACTGAAAATCTTAACTCAATATCTCAAGTCGTTTAGGAGGAGTTTCCAGGACAAGTCTACCCTCTGAAAATCAGAAAATCCTTAATATCTCAAGATAGGAAGTGACGTCATCAATCAAAAAAATTTCCAATAAGGTTCAGATCAATACCTATCAGATCTAAAAGTTTCATGAAAATCGGCCAAGTCGTTTACGAGAACTCGCGTGCACAAAATCGGTAAGAATAATAATAAGAAAAACTAGACGAGCTTGTTGCAAAGCAACAAATAAGTCTTCCGTCTAAATTTCAAGGAGATGAGATCGAGAGACATCTACGGTCATATGAGCAAGAATGAGCCATAAACCATTACTTCCGGTTTGACCGGAAGTGACTTCATTTTGACTACTTTTAATGATCTCCTTAGCTGCTACTTGTCATTTTGAATAACTTTGCTTCTATGGTGTTATACAAATTCTCAATACTTTTTGAGATATCAGGAAAACACTTTTGGCCCCTCTAGCTCCCTAATTTTAGGGGCCAGCCCCTTATTGTTGACATCCTTTGAAAGATCGTGTCATTCTACACAACTTTTGTTCTATATGTTCTAACAAAATATTTACAGGTAAAAAGATATTGTAGAAAAAGTGTTAGAAATTTTGAAATTCTCGATATGCCTTTTTTCGGGCCATAGCGAGCGTCGGCGTGCAGCAATTCCGGTGAGAATGAAATACGTTTGTCACATCTACATATATTGTTCTGTCACCGCTGAAAATCTCAAGTTTCTCTCTTAAGCCTTTTTTTAGAAAACTCGCGGACAAACCAACCCTCTAAAATTCATTAAAATGCAGAAATCTCGGAACTGGAAGTGAAGTCATCAAAACAAAAAAATACATGTCTAGATTTTTTGATGTTCTATCAGACCTGAAAGTTTCATGAAAATCGAGCAAGCCGTTTCCGAGAACTCGCGTGCACAAAATCGGTAAGAAAAAGAATAATAAAAACTGTGGAAAAGAAACCTAAGAATAACAAGAAGGTCTTCCGCTGAAGACGGAAGACCTTAATAATAATAATAGGGAAAAAGAAACAGAACGAAAACAATAAGGTCTTCCGTTGGAAATGGAAGACCTTAATTTGACAGTTCAATAAAGTTTTCACTTTTCAAGTGTGCCCTGATTCCTGCCGAATGTCAATCAAAAGCGCAATCGTTCTTTTCAGTGTGTGAATAAAAAGTTGTAAACTACACACGGTGATGCAATCTAATAACTCAATTTTTTTTAATTTAAGTAAATAAAATTATATTTGCATGGTATTCACAAATTAAGTATACTGAATATATTATGTCTACATAGCTACATTCATGCGCAATACAGATTCTTTTCGTGCGATATTTAAAATTGTCGATTATGCATAGTTAAATAGATGTTATAGTAATATTTTTTTTTCAAATATACTTTTAGTTAGTTTTGCGAAATTATTATTTAGAGATATTATTTCCTGAACTTATAAAATATTAACGGATACTGTACTTCTAGACTGTATAGGATACATGTCGCATACATACATTTTGTAAAAATGTAAGATGGGACCTAGATATTTTTTTTTACATACACATGTATCTGTGTAGCATGTATCGTACTTAAAACATTGCCATTTAATTTTAGCGCTAAATTATTTTATACAAGACAGTCAGATTCTGAAAAGATTTTAGTACTGAAACACTTTAAAACTGAATTTATTATATTTATCTCATTAATGTCGGACTTCCAGAGGTAAATAAGGAATAAAAATGTAAATAATTTATATAAAACGGAAATATTTAAAGGAATTAATTTCTTCTACTTCAACGCTCGTTGAACACAAGATATTTGTATTGTACAAGTTTTAAAGTAAACGGTGAATTTTTTTTTTTTATTAAAATTGTTATTAATCATGTTAATTATTGTAATTAACGATGAAGATGATAATTCATCATTAATTTTAAATAAATCCCTTATAACGACTTATTTTCAAAATTTTAAGAAACTATTATTTAACATGACCAAGGGATGAAAGATTAAATATGAGTTTTTTCCTGCTAATCAATAACAATTAAAAACGATTTTAAATACATTATTTCACAATTTACATTTTTTTTTTCAAGAATCTTTTTATAACTGAATGCTTTAAATAAATAGAGTTATATTCCTTGGAGGCAATATTTATAGGTGGCGCTTTCTCAATTGCGGAAGTTAAGTCCTACTTGCAGTTTGCAAAAGCTAAAATGTTATGATAATGAAATTACACATATTTTGCGACACAAAATACTACGCATAAGGCTGATATGAATCATGTAATTTTATTTGCTCCATATGCAGACTTCGCATTATAAGTAAACGATGAAGCGATGAGAAGTCAGCGGTTTGCTTTTAGTGCAGTGTCATTTATGCATTATTCGAAAAAAGGAAGTAAATTTTACACCAGGCTACGGGTCCGCGAAGAGCGGCGTCCATTACTGTCTGGCATTATGTAACCGGCATGTGAGGTATTAGACAATAATCTGTTTCACGCCTTTTTCTCTCTGTCTATAGCTGTGTAGTAGACGATCATGGTGAAAGTTTTAACCATGATATAAATTTGAGAAAAAATTAACAAGGCAGGTGTTCAATTGTTGCTGTTGGAAGCAATTTGTTTGTTTATTTATTTATTTTTTTATGTTATTATGAATAATACTATAGACTTGTATAATATGCATAAAGTATAATACCCTGTCTGCAGCAAAAAGAACCATATTAAACAATTTATTGCTTCTGTTGTCATCATTATAGTATCACCAAGGTTCTCCTATATACTTGGTATGCAGGTCCCTGATATTACTATATATTAGGACCAAAACATGTATATTGTTCCTATAATTTGTAATTCAAGTATTTAAACTTTATTTTGCCTTATTTATTTAATCATTTATTTATTTAATCAATTAATTTTCTTTTTCTTAGAAGTACAAAAACTATATATTTTGCTATATGTACATTGTAGAGTTACTTTGCCTTTAACACACATGGGGGCCATGGGGCTTTTGTCAGCTGACTATTTATTATTTTTATGGTGTCTACACACTGTGACAATACAACTGGTGGCAATGATAAGACATGTTCATTTGCCATGGTCAGAAAGCTTAGTTGCTAGAGCATCTGCCAGAGCTTAAGTGGCCCACATTTAATTCTGCTCTGATTTGTTGTATTTTCTCCCTTCCTGTTACATATACATGTATCTACAGTAAAACACGCTTATAACAAACACATTTATTATGAATTGATGCCTACAGTGAAGTGATTTTCATTCCCCGTGGCTTTAAAATGTATTGTGAGCCTAAGAGATATAACAAATTACAATCTCTCACCAGAGGGCATATTACGCTTCGCTACAACACCTCTGTCAACGTCTAAATGCCAAGATTCTTGGCAAAACTTACCCTGACCTATTGCATAACAAATTATAAATTTTAAAGTTATATATTTTAGCTTTGAAATTTAAAGAAAAGTTTATGTATGAAAATTAGAAAGAAATATATCTGTATCACCGTATCTTACAAGGGATTATTTCTCGGCGGGATATTGCATTACTCATGTAGACAGATATGGAGAACGTGTAAAATTTAAAACGCATTGCCGACAAATATCAACATTGTTTAGTTTTTAAAGACAAACAACTTGCAGCATTGACACATACACAGAAAAGTGAAGGTAATACGCTTGTTAATCTTACTGTGATAAAGGCCACGCGTCTCCGCCTTCCGTACTACTTTTTAGGCGTTGACAGAGGTATAAGTGGAGCGTAGCGGGAACGATAACTCTGGATAGAGATTGGACCATTCCTGGCACTTTGTTCTAAGCGTGTTTTACTGTAATGCCTTTATATGCCCTTGAAGTCATGTGAGGAAGCTTTCCGGGTATGTACAATGTACCTGGGTTTGTGTCCTCAGTGTAAAGATGTTTAATTAGTGGGAAATATGATAGTCTGGCAGGTTTGGTGGTAGTCAGAGAACTGAGTTGGTAGAGCACATGTCCAGTGTTCAGGGGACGTTGAATCTTAAGCCCCATTTTTACCATTAAAAAAAAGCTTTAAAACATGGCCTTATGGCCTTATTACATGTATCAAAAACTTCATAAAAATAATGCTTAATAAAGCTATTTCATTGAATGCTTAAAATTCACATATAAATTATAATTAAATCAATAAAAAATTAAGATAATGTGCAATTCTTTTGTGAAATGCCCTATTGCATTTTCCCTAATTATTACAGTTGTATGAAATGGTAGTGAACAATACAAGATCTAGTAAATACATGATATAAAAAAAAAGTCTCTTCTGTTCAAATGAGATATTTGTTTAGTAATCCAGGTGACAAAAATATCTTAAATCAGGTAAATTTAATTGACATTATACCATATTTCATAAACTTGTACTACAAAAGTATTTGATAGGGTTCTTTTGTATTTATATTTATCACATTTGCCCTCTGTCTGTGGTGCATTGTATGGAGAGTTTCCCTGTGTGTGCATGTACTCTAATTTGTTTTCAAGGGTTGTTTTTAATACTTCCCAGGTAAATGTGTCAATATGGTCAAGAACATGTCAATTTAAATGCCTTTTGTAATGTTTGATATGTAATTTTATCAAAATTTTACATGTATTTGTAAGTACACACATGGACAACCTATTAAATGTACTAATAACTTGACCTATGGAATTGCAATATAGTGTGGTGAAATGATTAAGTTTCAGAAAATTTAACTAATTAAATAGCAGGTGTGATTTCTATCAACTGCAAGCAATTGGTCATTTTTGTCATGATAAATGATTTATTATAAGATGATAATTGAAACATACTGAAATCAGTATTTCAATCAATCCATTCCTTTGTATAATTAACCAGTTAAAAAAATTCAACCTGATGAGAATGAGCATATATACTTGTACTGCCAAACAGTCCATAAGGCCACAGTTACTAGATAATTCAGTTTACGGATCTGCCGACCCATTTTTTTTTTTTTTTTTAGGTTTTTGAAAATAAAAATAATAGATATTTTTTCACCCCTGTCATTTAAAAAAAAAAAATTATTGATGTTCCATTTGAAAGAATTTTCAATTTTTTTTTATTTTGTCACCACCCAATGGACATTTTGGTTGAAAAAATAAATAAACCTAAAAATAAAATAACTTTGGCCTAAACTATATGAAACTGGTAAAACACAATATCGGTACAGTTCATTAGATTTTTTTTTTATTATGGACACTCTTAAGTATGTACTGACTTATCAATTCTTTTTTTTCCATTCCTTTAGTGCCATCTTCAGTTCATTATGAGTATGAATAACATCATAAAGCAGGGGTACTTAAAGAAAGCTCACCCCACATCACCATCTTCAACAGGGGCTAGTTTTGCCACCAGCATAAAACAGGTACAGTTACTCCAGCATGTTATCTAAAGTAAGCATGCCTCACAAAACCATTTTTAACAGTGGCTAGTTTTGCTGCCAGCATAAAACAGGTACAGTAACTCCAGCATGTTATCTAAAGTAAGCACACCCCACAAAACCATCTTTAACAGTGGCTAGTTTTGCTGCCAGCCTAAAACACAGTAACTTAGACATGTTATATAATGAAAGCTCATCCCACATCACCAACTTCTACAGAGGACAGTTTTATCACCAGCATAAAACAGGTGCATAGTAACTCAAACAAAAATCTTAGAAGCCCTGGAGAGATTAAGAACAGAGACCCAAGACACCCACCAAACTTGTACTTTTATCATGGGTTTTGAAAAATATCTCAAATAGCTCTGTGGTAAGAATCAAACCACAGACAAATGACATCACTTGTCCTAGGCTACATGTACCAAGATGCATTAGATACATAGGATGCACAGCAGTGTGTGACTAGTAGATGTGGGATGTTTACTCCTCCTGGGCACCTGATCCCAACTCTGGTGTTTCTAGAGGTCCATGATTTTGCTTTGTCCAGGATTCATTTATGAAATTTTTCACTGTTAATGATCTTCACTTTTACATAAATCTATAAGACATCAAACAACTTTAGTCACACCATAAACTAAATCTATAAGACATCAAACAACTCCAGTCACACCATAAACTAAATCTATAAGACATCAAACAACTCCAGTCACACCATAAACTAAATCTATAAGACATCAAACAACTCCAGTCACACCATAAACTAAATATTAAACATTACAGATCTCCAGCATTGTACATAGACTTTTACGAAAAATCTATAAAATAAACTAAAACATTGATTTTAACATTTGATAAGTTCAGGAAATATAAAAAAGTTGATCATCTTAAAATTGTTGAATGAGAAAGAGATAAAAAGAAAAATCAATAACATATTAATGTTGTCTTAGTATTATATCTACTTCACTTATTGGTAGATATGGCAGCTTATAGACAAAACACTTCTTACTCAGCACTGGCAATGACAAGTTAGTCAAAACTGAATTTGATATGGTATATCTGTAAGGTCATAGACACTGAACATCTCCATTAAAAAATGTTTAAAGTCATTCAACATTGAATTACTTTGGGATAGCTTTGATACCTAGCACTGGTCAATTAGATATGCTGCACATATCCTTTAGTAATGTCTGTACAGTAAGTAGACTAGGGCTGAAACGATACGCCCCCTCCACGATACGGTACGTATCGCGATATTTGTGTCGCAATTCAATTTTTTCAGTACGATACATTTTAAAAAAGAAACAAATCATAAGGTTAAAGAAAACATGTATTCAGATTTCAAAAGGCAAGTAAAAGGTGGTGATACAATAAAGAGCACTACTTGTGCTTCTGTAGATTAAAAGAGCACTTTGTTCATATCAATACTAGCAGTGGCAGCCTGCTCTGAAACTTTCTCCATCACAATTTTCTCCCTTGTGTGTGTCAAACTATTAAAATGAGGTCGAACCTGATCTATTTCAAGTTGTTACCAAACCCGATTATAAAAAACATACCGAACCGAAAATCGAGGTAGTGAATCGAACATTGAAGCGAGCAGTAATATTGAACATTATTGAATTTTCGGTGAATCATTTTAGCCCTAAAGTAGACACTGAATAACTTAAGTATAGCTTTGAAAGCTGGTATTAACCTGGTTAACACTTTCCCATTTAGTCAGAAATGTCTTCACATTCAGAAGATACTGAAGTACTTAGAGATAGCTGTAAGAGAAAGGACTAGCCAAATAGTTGTAGACTGCATGTCTCAGTCAAAAATGTCTATACAATAAGAGACATTAAAGTACTTAGAGATAGCTATAAGAGAAAGGACTAGCCAAATAGTTGGAGACTGCATGTCTCAGTCAAAAATGTCTATACAATAAGAGACATTGAAGTACTTAGAGATAGCTATAAGAGAAAGGACTAGCCAAATAGTTGTAGACTGCATGTCTCAGTCAAAAATGTCTATATATTAAGAGACATTGAAGTACTTAGAGATAGCTATAAGAGAAAGGACTAGCCAAATAGTTGTAGACTGCATGTCTCAGTCAAAAATGTCTATATATTAAGAGACATTGAAGTACTTAGAGATAGCTATAAGAGAAAGGACTAGCCAAATAGTTGTAGACTGCATGTCTCAGTCAAAAATGTCTATATATTAAGAGACATTGAAGTACTTAGAGATAGCTATAAGAGAAAGGACTAGCCAAATAGTTGTAGACTGCATGTCTCAGTCAAAAATGTCCATACAATAAGAGACATTAAAGAACTTAGAGATAGCTTTAAGAGAAAGGACTTGCCAAATAGTAGTAGACTGCATGTCTCAGTCAGAAATGTCTGTATAGGGTAGTTGGTAGACATAACTTTGAGAACTAGTATTAGCCTAGAAGACACTGTTCATCTCAATCAGAAAATTCTTTACAGTCAGTAGACTCTGTACTTCACAAGCAGAAATGTCTGTAGAGTCATTACACACTGTACATCTCAATCAGAAATGACTGTAGAGTCAGTAGACCCTGTACTTCACAAGTAGAAATGTCTTTAGAGTCATTAGACACTGTACATCTCAATCAGAAATGTCTGTAGAGTCAGTAGACATTGCACTTCTCAATCAGAAATGTCTTTAGAGTCAGTAGACACTGTACTTCTCAAGCAGAAATGTCTGTAGAGTCATTAGACACTGTAAATCTCAATCAGAAATGTCTGTAGAGTCAGTAGACACTGCACTTCTCAAACAGAAATGTCTGTAGAGTCAGTAGACCCTGTACTTCTTAAGCAGCAACTCGGCATTAAACAATAATAATCAATCAATCTTAAGCAGAAATGTCTTTTGAATCAGTAGACCCTGTACTTCTCAAGCAGAAATGTCTGTAGAGTCAGTAGACCCTGTACTTCTTAAGCAGCAACTCGGCGTTAAACAATAATAATCAATCAATCTTAAGCATAAATGTCTTTTGAATCAGTAGACACTGTACTTCTCAATCAGAAATTTCTTTAGAGTCAGTAAACACTGTATTTCTCAAACTAAAATGTCTTTAGAGTCAGTAGACACTGTACTTCTCAATCAGAAATGTCTTTTGAGTCAGTAGACACTGTATTTCTCAATCAGAAAAGTCTTTAGAGTCAGTAGACATTGTACTACTCAATCAGAAATGTCTGTAGAGTCAGTAGACACTGTATTTCTCAAGCAGAACTGTCTTTAAAGTCAGTAGATACTGTACTTCTCAATCAGAAATGTCTTTAGAGTTAGTAGACACTGCACCTCTCATTCAGAAATGTCTTAAGAGTCAGTAGACACTGTACATCTCAATCAGAAATGTCTTTAGAGTCAGTAGACACTGCACCTCTCAATCATAAATGTCTTTAGAGTCAGTAGACACTGTACTTCTCAAGCAGAAATGTCTTAAGAGTCAGTAGACACTGTACATCTCAATCAGAAATGTCTTTAGAGTCAGTAGACACTGCACCTCTCAATCAGAAATGTCTTTAGAGTCAGTAGACCCTGAACTTCTCAATCAGAAATGTCTGTAGAGTCATTAGACACTGCACCTCTCAATCAGAAATGTCTTTAGAGTCAGTAGACACTGTACTTCTCAATCAGAAATGTCTTTAGAGTCAGTAGACACTGTAAATCTCAATCAGAAATGTATATAGAGTCAGTAGACACTGCACTTCTCAATCAGAAATGTCTATAGAGTCAGTAGACACTGTACTTCTCAAGCAGAAATGTCTTTTGAGTCAGTAGACACTGTGCTTCTCAATCAGAAATGTCTGTAGAGTCAGTAGACACTGTACTTCTCAATCAGAAATGTCTTGAGAGTCAGTAGACACTGTACTTCTCAATCAGAAAAGTCTTTAGAGTCAGTAGACATTGTACTACTCAATCAGAAATGTCTGTAGAGTCAGTAGACACTGTACTTCTCAATCAGAAATGTCTTTAGAGTCAGTAGACACTGCACCTCTCAATCAGAAATGTCTTTAGAGTTAGTACACACTACTTCTCAAGCAGAAATGTCTTAAGAGTCAGTAGACACTGTACTTCTCAATCAGAAATGTCTGTAGAGTCAGTAGACACTGTACTTCTCAATCAGAAATGTGTTTAGAGTCAGTAGACCCTGAACTTCTCAATCAGAAATGTCTGTAGAGTCATTAGACACTGCACCTCTCAATCAGAAATGTCTTAAGAGTCAGTAGACACTGTACTTCTCAAGCAGAAATGTCTGTAGAGTCATTAGACACTGTAAATCTGAAGCCAAAATGTATATAGAGTCAGTAGACACTGCACCTCTCAATCAGAAATGTCTGTACAGTCAGTAGACACTGCACTTCTCAATCAGAAATGTCTATAGAGTCAGTAGACACTGTACTTCTCAAGCAGAAATGTCTTTTGAGTCAGTAGACACTGTGCTTCTCAATCAGAAATGTCTGTAGAGTCAGTAGACACTGTACTTCTCAATCAGAAATGTCTTTAGAGTCAGTAGACACTGTACTTCTCAATCAGAAATGTCTGTAGAGTCAGTAGACACTGTACTCCTCAATCAGAAATGTCTTTAGAGTCAGTAGAGACTGTACTTCTCAATCAGAAATGTCTGTAGAGTCAGTACACACTGTACTTCTCAATCAGAAATGTCTTTAGATTCAGTAGATACTGAATAAATTAGTCACAGCTTTAAATATTAGCCTTTAGAGACATAGATTCACTTACACATTCACTTCTTGATTAAAAATATCTGCATAGTAATTTGACTCTGTTTTTACTAAAGTGGCAATGGGAGTTAATAGACGTTAACTTCTTAGACTGAGTTAGACATGACAGCATTTAAATTTTATATTAATCAATGCCTCAACAGGATAACATCAGGAAGTATTTCACCAGAGGTTTTCAGAAGACAATGGATTTCTTGCCTGAGAAACAGGAAGGAAACAGAACCATCGTCCCTGACTTGAGTGTCGCTGACTCATTTTAATGCATTGACGTGCAGATGCACATATTATCATTCCCACTGTAAACAAAGTGAAACTTGAGCTTGCTTTTCTTTCCCTTTCTATCTCAACTATATAAAAAATGCAAGCCTTAGACTTTTTTGTGATATTCTTCCCTTTTTCATCCTTGCAACATCAGAGGTCCGGAGTCCCTCCTTGGTGGTGGGGTGGGAATGAGTGGACTCAGGCCCCTTGATGTTGTGACAACGTTCTATTTTATGAGGATTATTTAGATTTGTATACTATATATAAATATATTATAGTTACTACCAGTAACATAAAGTTACATGTAATATTTGTTAGTTTCCCTGAAGATGTTTATTAATATACTTTGAAAATCACTTCCTCATAACACTCATTTAAACACCATCAGTTTATACCTCCTAATGAAGACTGGATTTTTATATTGATGGAGCAATTGGAGCTAGCATTTTAAAACACTTTCCACAAGAGTCATACTTGATAAAATCTTAATAACATAAAACAAGGCTATGCTTTCACTTTAATTAAAATTATAAGCATAAGTTAATGTACCAGATATTGAGCTGTACATTGACATGTATTAATTTGAAACAAATTTAAGTGTCTTTAAAAAAAATACGTAACTTCACAAGATAATCACAAAAAAAATCCTTTAATTATTTAATTCATTTTTTGTAAATATACATCCCTGTTTGCTGTCCAGTCAATGTGAAAGAAATGGTTGAATATTTTGGCCCTATATTATAATTATGGCCCTTAATGGCTGAATAATTTTGACCCCATGCAATGATGTTTTTTTTCAAAAGATTCTGAATTGTTTTTGCAGTTGTTTGAGCCCCAGAGATGGTATGTTTTTGGAATGAAGAATGGGATTCCACACCTAGAGTATTACGACAAAGAAGAGAGTGCATTCTCAGGGGAGCCAATCCACTCTTACTGCATGGCTAACTGTAAGCGCATCACGTACACCATGGGACGGCTGAATAAGGTCTGGACATTTTGTATCTTCTTAGAGGACCGAATTCTGGAACTTACAGCAGAATCTAGGTATATATGACTATTATTTCAATTATTTTCACTAAGATTCACTAAATCTACTTTCTAAATCCACTACAAGAATAAGGTACCTGGACTACCAATACATTGAGGTGTATTTTTTTCTTCAGGGATAGTATGCTGGCATGGTGCAGGATTTTAGAAAGAACACTTCATGCATTTGGAAACCTAGTGAGCTTTATATTTAATTACAATACACAATTCTTCATCAGTGTTTGTACAAAGTAATAGTTGTTCTGTAATCATTTCATTTTTGACTTCTTTTTTATTTCCAGAGGAAAACTAGTAGTGAACATGTATACAGTGCCTACCCTATCAGAAGACCCCCCAAAAAGAGCCTACCTGTGACACCTCCAGGATCTCCCCAGCCCCAGGGGGCTGAGGCTCCCCCTCTCCCTACAAGTAACCATGGTACCAAAGAAGAAAGTGACAAAGAAGAAATATTTGAGAGTCAGAGGAGTTTGATGAACTCATTACGTAACTCAGGTAATTTACAGAATGCCTCAGCGGGTCTGAGAGAATCTATTATCCTGGCTATGCGTAACTCGTCCAATTCTGATGATGGTGTCTGCCAGTCTCTCCCCGAGGACGACGTAAGTCAGTCCTTGGAGGAAGATAAGGGAGCAGATGGAGATATAGACAGCGACCCAGAGTATAGCGATGCAGCCTGGACTAAGGGGACTATAGAGTTTGACACAGAAGATTCCAATCAAGGTTTATCTTATGTTAGATTCAAAGCTGTTCTTCTTGAGATTGGCTAACATCATATCACTTCCTTCAAAGCATCACAATCTTTCTTTATTATGTAGCACTCGTAATCTCATTTTGTCTATACTCAAGTAGTGCTATGCTGATGCTAGCAGTATTTTCGGAATTTTTCTGAGATCTTGCTGCTGTAAGTAATTACATTGCTGGCTGGCCACAAACAGGCCGTTACAAGATTAAAGAAACAAGCTTCTATTGCAGCTACATGACTATAGAGGTGTATTGCTACTTGTTTGAGTGATATTTGTCAAATGAATCATTGTAGAAAACTACTTAATGTCACACACTTTGTGCTAAAGTAGGTTACTGGGTCAAGTGAGACAATGTTTAGTTTGATTAGAATCTAAACATTAGACTGTTATATAAAGTTTGGAAGGAATTTCAGTACTTGACTAATGTTATAATTGTCCTTACAGAAAGAAGACAATTAAATTGACAAATAACTTTTAAAATAATATACTTTGTTTCATGAGAAAAAAATGAATGTATAATGCACTAATGTTTCTGTGTTAACAAATGGCTAAACATTTGAATTTTGATGCTAACATTTAAAGAAAAAAAAAATTAGTACAAATGTATATTGACTATGCAAGCAGATTTACATCTAAAGTACTTAACACGTTTCTTTTTGCATGGAAACATGGAAATGTGCAATTATATATATTCTAATTGTTTACATATTACAGTGACATGAATTTTTTTACTCACTGGAATCTTATTAATCATTTTCAACAAAATATTTACATTTGTGCTGTAGTGATATTTAATCTTTGAAGAGTAATAAGCCTTATTTCATCATGAATTTAACTGTATTTACTGAAATATACTTGTATTTGAGATCCAGAATTCATTGATTTTTTTTTTTTTTTTTTTTTTTTTGGCAATTTAAGATAAATTTTTGATTTAAAGTCCTGTCATCATACAGAAACAATACTGCACTATTAATACACGTGCTTCATTTTTAAACACAATGGGCAATTATTTTGGTGAGTATGGTGTAAAATTAATGTATAACATGTGAAGTCACCAGTGAAATGATATTAAGAAGCTGTTACGTTTTACAGAGGGTGTTGGTTTGGAGATTCGTAGAGGAAGACATCGTACCAATTCCGATTCTAGTGGCAGTGAACCCGACACAACTGGTGACGAGGACTTTGTGGCGGAAGATTTCTTTGTTAACAATAAAAAGCTACAGAAATCTCCAGCAGTTCATAGACGATTTAGAGACGATTTGGGGATAAAGAAAAGGCCCACACCACAACCAGTGCGTCCCCTCTCCATGATTAACTATCCACCATCACAAAACATTTATGAAAATGAAAATCTCGATTTCGTGTTGGATCCAAGGCTGCAGGACCAGTTTCATGGAGATGTCGTCAGAAATAAAGAAATACCGCCAGCTCAACCACTTACGAAAGACAATAACTACAGCTTTGTACGTCGACAAAGGCTGTGCAGCGGCGATACATCCTCCAAACCAGAAACTGATGGCGATAACTATGAACTTGCAAGAAATCCATTTACTGAAGAATTTAGAATTCCCGAGAGACCACCTAGTGATCCATATTTAGACATGTGTGACGCGGACAGAAGTAGGACTCTTACCAAACCTTCATCTAACGTACATCAGCTAGATGACGGTTATCAAGTGATTAGATCTGAAGATGGTGAATCAAAGTTGGTTGATTATGAAGATATGACTGCTGATATGAAGGATTTACGAGTGTTTTTGCCCCCTTGTGATGAGAAGAAACGCCAAAGTGGTCTTAGTGATGCAAGTACACCTACTAGTAAAGAGAGTGGAAGTGTGTTCCTAGGATCAAGAGATTCATCCTCCAAAGAGGACAACTTATATGCTCCATTCCCAGTGTCACTTGATTCCCAGGGTTCCACAGCTAATGTGGAAGACATTCCTAGTGTGCCCCCTCCACGGACTAGTGGCACTGAATCACCCAAATGTTCTAGTCCAGACAAACCACCACGCCACAAAAAAGGCTCTAGTGTGGTATCCCCTCCACACTCAAACAGAAATTCGCGAGAATCTGACTCTCCACGAGTGGCCAGTCCTGTTCCTCCTCCATTAGATTCTATACCAAGCAGAAAAACTCCACAAGACATACCAATGCCAGATAACATGCCGAGCAGTGTCCTCCCTCTCAGATTTGGAGAATTCGTACCAGGTCTATCCAATTTTTCACGCCCGGATGATCCGGATAAAGGCAATTTCTACTCTGTACAACCTGTTCCACCTAAACGGAGAAATGTTCCTCCTCCAACTGATTATGCATACGTGACCCCAAAACCTGAGGACAAAGGCTTAATTCCCGAACTCCCTCCTCCCCGCAGACAACCATCCAACATTCCGGTGGGTAAAGGGCTAAATTCTCCACCACAACAATCGTTTAAATTCAAACCAGGCCTTTCAGAACCAGGGCTAGAGAACCACAGTGACAGCAATGATGAATATGAAGATGCGACAATGATGAATGGTCAGCCCCCAAGACCCCCACCTAGGAGGTCCAACCTAAAAAATTCTAAAAGTTATACTTCTGAGGAAAAGACAAATGTTACAAGAGATGACATGCCAATAAGACCAAAGAGTATGTATTTGCTTAATTATACTCCCATAAACAAAGTGTGTTGGGGGGGGGGGGTGTATAATGAAATACCCATGTCTATCTGTCTGTCCATTTGTCTGCTAACATATTTTGTTTTGAATTTATCTCTGAATGTCAAACTTTGTAGATTTAATATATACATTATAGACTTGTACATCTGATATTTTCAGATTAATTTGTCAAGTTTAAAAATAATAATATGAATATTTTAAGATTTTATTCTATATAATTCATTGACAGTATAATTAGGAGTGAAATTTCTGTCTGCACACGACTTTGAAACCAAGAAGTTTTAGATCTAGAGCCTCATATTTGATACAAAGGTAGCTTGTGACCAGAGGTGTGTCTTGACTCTGTACTGAGGTCATTTTGGCAAGGTCATGGGTGCAGAAGTTTTAAATTATTGTTCTAGCCACAAAGCATTTGAAGGTGATACTTGAGACAAAGATTGTTTGTGACTCAAGTATATATCTTGACCTTAACCCAATGTAATTTGTACAAGGTCAAGGTCACTGGCTTTAGAAATGTATAATTCTTGTTTCGGCCATAACTTTGAAGTGGAGATTAACATTAGTGGATTACATGTAAACTAGGCACAAAGGTTGCTTGAGATAGAGGATGTGTAACAACCATGGTTATTTGGAAAAGGTCAAAGTTATTGGATGTTAAGTGTAAATTTCTTGTCCTTAACATAATTTTGTAAGGAAATAACTTAAGAAGATCATACCTGACCACAAGGTTAATTATGATCATAGGATATGTCATGGGCCTGAACATGGTCATTTAGACAGGGTCACAGAATTCAGAAGTGACATTTTAATCCTTGGACTGTGGATGGTAACATTTTTTGCACTCAACATAGATAGGTGTTATCACATTTTTGTCAATCAATACATCTCGGCAAGATTCAGGCCATGAGGATTTGCAGTACCTATAATGTTTTAGTCAGATGGCAGAGTTTTTCTCTAAGCTATTTTAACTGAGCCCCATGGGGGTAGTAGTCCTATTAGGACAGATCTAGTTACACTTGCTCTATTTAAATGCACTAGCAAAACAAGAACTCTTAGATTTGGCTTGTTGATTGCTGATCTTTTTAATTAAAACTAAATATCTATTAACTATTAAGAAGTTTTAGCAAAAATGACCACAGGCATAATTATGATCATAGGATATGTTATGTCATATGACAAAATGTAGTTAAGAAATAATTTTTTTGTCTTGTACATATATAAGTAATATAAAGTCACAGTTAATTTATGGAAATTGATAAGCATTTTACGAGTTTACTTCATTCTAGGTTCAGTGGTGAGACAGCAGTCCCTACAGGAACGCCAGAGGATCAGTCAGACAGTGGGGGTTATCAATGTGGTCCCCCTCAAACAGAGCCAGGTGGAGCTCCTACAACAGGAGCAGAGACACCCCTTCATCAACATTACCATCAACAGGGCCTGGGGAACAAAGATTGGACTTGTTGACTGCTTTGACAAAGTCTGGTTGGTACTAGCAATTTTTTTTCAGTAAACTTTGTAGAATTTACATTATTTCATAGAATCAAATTTTAAAATTTAAAGAAAATATTATATCAAAAACTTAATCCATCAAATAATGTCAAAATTACAGAAATTATAATTGATCAATGTTGTTGACTTAATCTGTGCCATCCCTTAAATAAATGATTTTCTAGTGACCTTGGCTTTTAAGATATATAACCTTGAATCAAGATGGACAGAATCCATTATGTTGCCCTCTTTTAGGGGAGATATAATTTTTGCTAATTTTCATAAAAAGGGTTGCAGGATGGGACATGAAGACATGTCCTCGATTAAGTGACAAATTACACATAGGAGACCAGTTACTGAAAATAAATGACAAAAAAGTCAAAAACAGTGCAGATGCCCAGCGGATGTACAAGAGTGGTGAGGAAACTGTTGTTCTGACAGTCCATAGATTGCCCTATGCACAGGTTATAGCCATTCATCGACAGGAAAACAAACAACCGATTGGAATCCAGAGAGAGGGGGGAACATCGAAGGTAACCAATCAAAATCTAGCTAACTCTCTTGTTAACATCAAGGAAACTTTCGTTAAAAAATAAACGTTTTTACTATGGTTTAAATGTAAATGGAAAATCTTTACGCATTCTATGCTTCATTAATTTTCAATTTTTAATTTTAATAATTAACACCTTTGCAAAATATAATGTATTTTAGCTTTCTTCAAATTTAAGTCAGTCATGTGTGTTTCATTTGCATCATGGTCCATGGAGATATAAATCTCAAAGTTCTAATTTATTTCAATGTGCTGAAAACATTGATACAAATATAAATGAAGGTTAAAGTTGTGATTTCGTTGCCTCTTGTTTTTTGACTCTATAAATGGCTACTTGTTTTGGACTGACAATCTGTGTTGATTTCTTTTTTGTTACTCATTGAGAGATTGACTTTATTTAGATAGTGTATGTGGATCCTAATGGTTTAGCAGCACACCATGGACTCCAGCAACGGGCACGCTCTGTGCTCGTGGGCAGCGATTTTTGCTACTGGTGCCTGACGGAGATCAACAGCCGTCCCCTTGATTTGTCCTTTAAGGGGAATGAGGTCGGTCAATCGGGAGAGGGCCTGGTGAATTGATTTTGATTTTTAGAGTGCATGAAATCAGAAGCAAGGAATGCATGCACTTTAAAACAAATAATTTTTTTTTAAATGTTATGAATCAGACTTAGCACAATTATCCATAAGAATAGAAAATAAAGAATATAGATAATAAAAAAGAGAGAACTGTATGAATGACATTGTATTACATTTTGCAGTTCAGGTCATATTTCAGTACATGTATAAGCATGATTGTTTGAAATGGCATCAGACAAGTTTCAGTAATTTTTAAAAAGAAACAAAAAACTTATTTTAATGAAGATAAAATAAATTTTAATGACATGTTTGTAGATTGATCATTTGTTGAATGCTGTGGGAAGGGATATCTCCATTGTTGTCCAGCCGGAAGATTTTGTCAAAGAATTAAAGAAGCAGTTGAAGAAGCTTAAAAACTACAAAGATCTGTTAATGAAGTATTAGGTCTACTGAAAGTTTGAATTCCAAAGACAATGTTTATCTGTAATTTGCCATTGCTTTCCATATTAATATTTGTCATATGTGATATGACTGTGTGTATTAATTAACTATCTTAGTGCTACTCCTGTAATGAAAATTTTGGTTGCAATGTTTCTTATGAAATGTTCTGTTCTTTTTCATTCTGTATTAGTGCTGAAAGACATGTGATGTAGATTTTTAATGTAGATGTACTATTTATAAATAGCTTAGACTTTAGTTATTAGAATAGAAAGACTAAAATAGAATAGATACATTGACCATAGAGATTTAGATGGCTTGTGCACAATAATTCTGATTCATAGTGTATGTAGTACATATTTTTGTATTGTTTATTGAGAACTTGACAAAGATAATTCCAAGTAGCAAAGAAAATACTTTTCTTTATGTTTTTGTCCATTAAAAATGATTCCAGAATTACCATATGATTGCTATATTGGTGAGTTAATATGATACAGTGTAAAAATAAAATCAGATATTGTTTGATGATGTGTGATTCAAGGCAAGGTGATCTACAATTTTAGCCATAACTTTTGTAACTCTACAAATTTACTGTAAGTGTTTTAATGTTAACCATGGGTGCTATAGATGTTTCTTTAGTCTAACAAATTACAATGTAATATTGATCTATATTGTAATGCAGCCATAATATTTCTGAGTTACATTTTTTTCACTTTTTTGTGACCAATCATGACATATTTCATTATTACGTGCTCCACACTGCACTGCTTAGATATGCTGAACACCAGTATTGTACATGTATGTAGAATAATTGAAAGAATAAGATCTGCTATATGCTTTTTTGTCTCAATTGTTTTTTATTTATTTGTTTTACATTCTGTTCATCTGAATAAGAGTTGTTCACAATCGGTATAGAACCAGTATAAATTGTCTCACAGTTCTGCTGTGTTTAATAAAAAGCTGTCAACTGCTGATTTTTGTTTATGTGTATTTATACTTGTTTTCAATCACATTTCTCTGTATAACTGCTGAAAGTTAATAACCTGGATGTTTATGCCTGTATCCTTAAGTTTTTATGAATCTGTCTACACGATTCATTATGTCTGTCTGTCTGTGTATGAGTTCATTTATGTGTTCTTTTACAAATACCATCATACTTCACACATTCACTCTTACTTGAATGGATTGCATCATCTCTATAATCAAAATATTTTATCACAAAAGATCATTTTAAGCTGACATTTTGTCTGGACCATATACATATACATGTACGTTAATGTAAAAAAGAAAAATAGAGTGATACATACTACACTAATTTATTGCTCTTGTTCACATTTGCTGTGACATGACCATGGATTTCAAGGTCAATTGTTTCTTCTCTTTTTGTACATAGACTGCAATGCCTTAAAATAATTATAATGAATGAGAAGGGAATTTTGTGTTCTTCATTTGATGACAACTTTTTTTATCTCCAACATTTATTCTACATTTAATTTATAGGTAGATCTCAGATCTTTTTTTTAGAAGGGTCTAAACAGTTGGAGCCAATATTACCGTATATTTTCGCCTATAAGTCAGCTTTTTGGGAGTTAAACTTTGGTCCAAATCTCTTTATCCGACTTATACGCGAGTTATAACAAGATTGGTATTTTAGCAGGTCAATTCCTCTAATTTAAGCTTAAAAAATACAACTGACTTATTGGCGGACCAACTTGCAGGCGAGTATATACAGTGAATAAATGCAAGGTTTTTATGTTTAAATAATAATAAAATTGAAAGATTTTTGCACCTTAATAAATACACTCTAGTGTTTGATGGTTACCATTCCAACAGCCAATGTATACTGAATATTGCTATGTTATCAGCTGTACAGTCAGTGTTTAACTGACCATGCTTATGTCTACTCAACAGAACCATCACTTCATTTGACTTCATTCAACTGAGCGTTTTTTTTTTTTCTGTAACTTCTAACCTGGTTTATTGTTTACATGTATGTATGGAAGCTGACTATCCATTTTGCCAGAATCCCATTTGTAATCACCAATGTACATTGTAATGTAGGCATCCTATACTGATATGCTATATGCTGGTCATCTAGCAGTGAAATTCAGAATTGTTTCCAGTCATTTAGTGACTAATGCATTATATAAACAGAATTCATTTTTGTACACTAACAAGTTGATGGTTGATAGATTCAAGTAATGAATCAGTCTGTGCGCTTGTTGAAGAAGAGCAACTTTTTGAAGATTAATATAATAAATATGCATGTATTTGTATGCCACTTTATCATGCCAATGATCAATAGAAAAATTTCTAAGACCTCTCAGTTCTTTAGGCTCATATTAATATTCTGTATGTATAAGAAATTGATTGAAATGATAAATTAGAAATGTAGAATAGTGAATAGTATGTATGGTGTATTGAGGAAAGGATTTTTTTGTCAATTTTTTAAAGATTTGATTTTCAGCACATCATATATATTCAGAGCTTACTACGTGTATATTGAATGTTTGTAAAATTAAGATAACTTTAAAAATATTTTCTTTTGAAAACATTTAACAGGGTTTGTTTGTATGGATAGAAAATACATCATTTTTCATCATGACTCAATCATTAATTGATTAAAATGTACATTGGTATTAATAATAATGATTACATCATAAAACCAACCAGAATACATTCTGTTTGTTGTATCAATTAACTTCAACTTGCTAGGATTATGCTCTTAAGATCTTTTGTATTCTATACACATTTTTTTATTAGTTAAATAACTAAATGATACCAAATGCTTACAAATTCTGTAAATGTGTTACGTTTGGCTCTGTATTCTATTTAGTGCCTTTGGCAGAAAGCAGCTTCCCTTAAATAAAGTACATGCCGCTAAATGCTTTGTTAATGTACCCTTTTTATCTAGCTTATTCAGGAACCAACCAGTACAAATCTACAATAACTTGTTGAAAAATCAGTATCTAGCAAGTATCCTACATGCTTAGTATAATAAATTTATAGAAGCTTATTTAGTTTTTTCGGAATTTTCTCCTGTGATAAGTATATACTAGTCAATGATTGAATCACTTACTTGTATCTGAAATTAAATTTGAAATCAGCATTGAAAGACACTTTCAATGATACTTTAATATTTATTTGGAATTAAAAAAAAAGAAAATAGATTAGTTCTCAATTTATTGTTAAAAAAAAAGACAGATTAAAAACTAGTCATGAAACTTACCTGGTAACTATGGAAGCCTGAAGAGCACCAGGTTCCTAGAATTACTGTTACTTGTTGATTAATATATACAAATCTGAAATCCAGGTACTATTCTTGATTTTAGAATTGATCAAGTTACTTGTTCATACTTAGCTTTTTTTCTATTATGATGTATTATGCTTAATTGATGGTGTTTGAACTTGTATCAGATTTTACAAGTTGTAACATGTATAAATTAGTCTCGAACAACCAAGCTCTTCTGGCCGCAACTTAACTAATGTCTCATCTCTTTGATGTACAGTAAGTCATGGTCAGGATAGTCCAATTGATCGTGACTAGTTATAAACATGTTCTAAATAAAATCTATCAACATGGCAGACTGTATTGCATGAAGATTTGGCAGAGAGAATGTACTCACAATGTGTTATTTTATAATTAATTGAAACATTAAAATGTTTTTAATCATCTATTTTTTTTATTTTTTTTTTTTTGAAAAAACAGATTTGCAATTCTAATTGTTGAGTAAAGAGATCAGTAATGAATTTCCCTTTTTAGAATTACTGACACTATGAATTGACCTATATTTCCAATGTGAACTCTTTCTTTTTTTTTTATACGCCTGTCTTAAGATGGGATATATTATGGTATGGTGTTCATGTCCATCTGTCTGTCTGTTAGCCTTTTCATGTCCAGCTCAGGCCTAGAATAATCAAACTGATACATCTTGGGTAGAAGGTGTAACACACATTAATAGTAAGTTGACCTTTAATTAAAATGATATGGCCAAATAAGGCAAAAAATCATGTCCACTTATAGTTGGAAAACCATTGGACCTAGAATCATCAAACTTGGTCACCTAATGCATCTTAGGTGGAAGATGTGTCACATTCTACTTGAAGATCACTGTGACTATTAATTAAGGTGAAATTTAAAAAAAAAGAAAAAGGGAAAAATATGTTTGGGAATTGTGCAGAGGAGTCTGGCCTCTCTATTGCAATTGATAGCATCTGTCAAGTTAAAATAGTTCTTATCGGCTAGCCATTACTTTCAAAATGAACTTGGTGTAAAGTTTTGTTTTTAGTTTGATAATGTATAATATAATATTTTTATTTTAATTCTTTATATCTCAACAACTTTGCAGAGTGTCATATCTCACTAAGATGACAGTTTTACAGTCTATGTATAAACAGAATTATAAGGTTTTTGATATTTTTTTAGGCTGTAGCATTGTTCTTAATTCATAAAAAATACAATGAACAATGCTGCAGATGGGCATTTGTAAATATCTTAAACAACCAATTGAGAAATACATATACGTATGATTTATTCTTTGTTCTTGGTAATTAATAAAACTACACCATACGAGATGTACATCAAACTTTAGGAATGGAAGAATCATTGAAATCTTTCTACCAATGGTGACATGATTTTCTTCTTTGTACTCTAATCTGTTTATGATAATTGAACAATATTTGACGGGCGTATCATGTACTGTGGCAGTCCACTTTATTTTTAAATGATCTTTGGTAAAGATAGTAGGGGGAGGGGGTAAAATGAGACTTCTGCCTGTGCTGATTGCAATAGGGCCTCATTTCACTGTCCTGTGTCATGCACTGTGCATTGTTTGAACACTCTCAGATTATATGAAATGACTGAACCATTTTTAATCAATTTATTCACATACATGTATACCATATAGTCTCTGGGGAACAAAAATTTTGAACTCTGTATAATCTCAGCATCTAGCAGCCCTGATGAATCATTTATATGTATATTTATCTAATCAAAACATGTCTCCTATACATCATATATAGACAAACAATAATTATACCCCACGCAACAAGTTGCCTGAGGTATAATGTTTTTGACCTGTCCGTCCGTCCGTCAGTCAGTCAGTGTGTCAGTCAGTCCTTTTTTTTTTTTTTTTTTTTTTTTTTTTTTTTTTTTTTTTTTTTGTCAGCGCAACTTCTCATAAACCGCTGCACAGAATTTCGTCAAACTTTGCAGATATTTAGCACACAATGTGTAGATGTGCATATTACCAGGAAATTCCGATTCCTTAATTTTTTCTGGGAATTTCGGCACTTTTCATCTTAGATTTTTGGCAATATCTTGAATATAGAGATGAACAGTTTGTCAGCGCAACTCCTCATAAAAAGCTGCCTAGAATTTCATCAAACTTTGCAGATATTTAGCACACAATGTGTAGATGTGCATATTACCAGGGAATTCCGATTCCTTTATTTTTCTGGAAATTTCGGCACTTTTCATCTTAGATTTTTGGCCATATCTTGAATATAGAGATGAACAGTTTGTCAGCGCAACTCCTCTTAAACCGCTGCACAGAATTTCGTCAAACTTTGCAGATATTTAGGACACAATGTGTAGATGTGCATATTACCAGGAAATTCCGATTCCATTATTTATCTGGGAATTTCGGCACTTTTCATCTTAGATTTTTGGCCATATCTTGAATATAGAGATGAACAGTTTGTAACTCCTCTTAAACCGCTGCACAGAATTTCGTCAAACTTTGCAGATATTTAGCACACAATGTGTAGATGTGCATATTACCAGGAAATTCCGATTCCTTTCTTTTTCTGGGAATTTCGGCACTTTTCATCTTAGGTTTTTGGCCATATCTTGAATATAGAGATGAAAGTTTGTTAGTGCAACTCCTCTTAAACCGCTGCACAGAATTTGGTTAAACTTTACATACATTAAGTACACAGTGTGTAGATGTGCATATTACCAGGAAATTCCGATTCCATTATTTTTGCCTTAAGAGTTTTTGCCTATTATTGAAGAAACTTTCCAGCTAGGTAATAAGGAAATCCACTGGAATCAGCTTTTGTAATGAAATTTTATGTGAAATATTTTATGACCTTAAAAGACCCCTATTGATTTTGAGATCAAAATATTAATGATTTAACACACACACAAAATCTTGGATAGTTCTTTCTCACCCCCCCCCCCCCCCTCAAATTGGTGCTTTGCCTTAAATAATTTCATAAGTACAGTATATAAACAAATTCATATGACTACTTTATAATTTTGTTTCCATCAATTATTTAAATGTGTAAATTGTCATGTGTTGGACATGGACTTACACTCATTAACAAATCGAAATCACTGAGGAATTTAAATAACAGTTTGTCAGCATAACTCCTGCACTGAATTTCCTGAAACTTTGTAGGTATTTAAGACATAATGTATAGATTTGTATATTACCAAGAAATTTTGATTCCATTATTTATCTAGAAATTTCAGCCCAATTAAATTTGTAACATACAAAGATTTGAATGTCCTTATATGCAAGAAGTTTTGATGTGATGATGTTTTGCAAGTAATGCCCCTTTTTGAATTATACTGTGTATTAAAAATGCACTGTGCCATTCATTACGTGTTGTATTGTCGAGTTTTGGGGGAGCGTGGAGTATGTGAGCTTGCTCACTTTTTCTTTCATTTAAAAGGACATTTAAAGCAGTGGAATTTAAGTGGTTAATATTCTCGTTCCTTTCCATTCAGCCTCGACCCTAATGGATGGAGCTAAAACCATCAAAATTAATCCAATCATCTTCAAAAATCAACTTGCAGGCAAGCTGTTTAACCTAGTTTTAATAAAATGTTTCCCCTCTACCAAAACTATAAAGTTTTCGACATTGGATCAAGGCCTTTGGGTAGGAGGGAGCTAGGTTGGTCCATGTATTGCTTATGTATTATTACTTTGAAAAACCATTACGAGCAGGCAAGTTCCTGAAAATTATTTGCACGGTAAGCCCTCTCCCATTGAAATGAAAATCTGGATCCATGGTCTAGGGTCCAAGAATGGTTCATACTTGATCAAATATTGATGAATCAAAAAATCTCTAACAAGAATCTTTGCGTTGTGCTTTCGAGTAGTTTTTAGTAATCTACAAAATTGAGGAATTTCATGACCACCTTTATCAATGGTTCAGACTCTAGGATAAGGCTTAGTTGGTGACACATATTGAGGATGCTCTATATCTTTGAAAATCCTTTACTTTACATATATGCCTGTAAAATAAACAGGCAAACAATCTTATCGATTATAATGAGCAGTTGGTCATCTATCAAAGTTTTGAGGTTAGTTTCACCAGGGGTTATCGAAGGATTCAAGTTAGTGCTAAGTTGGTCATATTTTAAAAATGCATGCACACTACCTGATATTTAAAAATCTTCATCTTTACCTCTAGGCATTTGTGAAGCAAACTCTTGAAAAATTATTGTGAGTAGTTAGTCCTCAACCAAAATTGTGACATTCATGACTAGGCTTTAAGCCTCATTGTGATGCTAAGTTAGTCATGTAATGGTTTGGGCGGTGGATCTCGGCCTTGGTAGCTCAGTCGGTAGAGCACCTGACTAGTGATGCTGGGGTCCTGGGTTTGATTCCCGGTCCAGCCATATATTTTCTCCTTTCCTGTTACAGTCATAGATTGAAAACTCATTATACACTTGAAATTCTTTATTCCCAGACATCAATCCATTTGCATGATTGTTATTCTTAACAAAATTGTGAAATCAGAAAGGAGGGGCACTGAACCTTCAAAATATTAATAAGAATCATTTTTTGAGTTTTTACAATTTTTCAACATACCTCTCCCCCCCCCCCCATCTTTCCCCCTCTTCTTTTCTATCTTTTCTTAATCCCCCCAAAAATAAAATTCTTTCACACATTTTTTTCCTTATATATATGGCGTGTAAAACGTTGCTTTATTCGATAATCTTGTGATGTATATTCAAAATCTTGTGATGAATGTTCAAAATCTTGTGATGTATATTCAAAATCTTGTGATGTATGTTCAAAATCTTGTGATGTATATTCAATATCTTGTGATGTATATTCAAAATCTTGTGATGTATGTGCTATATCTTGTTATGTATATTCAAAATCTTGTGATGTATGTTCTATAATCTTGTGATGTATATGCAAAATCTTGTTATGTATATTCAAAATCTTGTGATGTATGTTCTATAATCTTGTGATGTATGTGCTATATCTTGTTATGTATATTCAAAATCTTGTGATGTATATTCAAAATCTTGTGATGTATATTCAAAATCTTGTGATGTATGTTCTATAATCTTGTGATGTATATGCAATATCTTGTGATGTATATTCAAAATCTTGTGATGTATGTTCTATAATCTTGTGATGTATGTGCAAAATCTTGTGATGTATATTCAAAATCTTGTGATGTATGTACAAAATTTTGTGATGTATATGCAAAATCTTGTGATGTATTTTCTATAATCTTGTGATGTATATTCAATAATCTTGTGATGTATATGCAATAATCTTGTGATGTATGTGCAATAATTGCATTTTGGGTAATATGACGCAATAGTGTTCTAGTTAAGTAAGGACAATTTTCATTGGTTGAAAATAACGCAAGTAGTGGGATGATGCATACGTAGATCAGTTGGACTTTCATTTTCGGTTTGA